GAATCCCGAAAATCCCAAAACAGTTCCCAGATTGAGTCTCTGTGTCTCTCTATATCCTTTCTTCTTTAATTACCTTTATTTTAATCTTTCTTCCCCTATCTTCATCTTTACTTTTGTCGGTATCCTCATCCTCCTCTTTGTCTTTACTTTTGTGTTTATCATTTTCTTCATCTACATATTCCTCTTCACCTTTGCCCTTATATATATAAAAAAGTTTTTAAATTTACCTTGGTCTTCATTTTTGCCTTTATCTTTACGGATCTTTGTTTTTGTCTTTATTTTTACCTTTGCCTTACGTAGTCACCTTTACTTTCATTCTTGTATTGGTCTTTTTCTCTGTGTGTATTCTTTAACCTTTTATTAGCAAATTTTTGTTAAATTAATACCATATGCATACACACAAGAAGCACTTGTATCAGCCCGAACCGTATCCGTTGCACCATTTCCGTGTGCAATTTCCGTTGAATTTGCCAATTTACTCCCAACTAACCAACCGCCGCTAAAGAAGTTCCACTTCAGTAATGAAAAATATTCCTTGTGGTTTTTTCTTGAGAGCTGTATTCTAAGATTTAGTGCAAATCCTGTGCAAATTTAAACTTTTTGAACTCAGCAAATTTTCTTCATTTAGAGTCAGCAACAAGCAAATTTATACACTTCTATAAATTTAAAATGTTAGACAAATTGCGCATTCTATTTTCGAAGTAGGGTTTGTCTTCATAAGGATGCACTCTAGTCATATGATTGCGTGTTTCGCCAGATAAAAAATCTGCTTGGTTTTTGAAGTTATGTTAATAACTTTAACTGTTGTCGAAGTTGTATTCCTCTTCAAAACGATCATGAGTACTCTTTATCCATGACATTCTAGTCTTTAATAGATAATACAGGCATGCGATGATTTCTCCTTAAAAAAAAAATAATTAGAAATTTGGGTAGGTATTAGATACTTAAAACTTTCCGACACGTGAGAATATTATAGCGTTTTCGTTTCTACCAAAAAATGTTACCTTCTCATTGCCCTCTAAGCACAAACACTAAGAACAGGGCAATGAAAAGGCAACATTTTTTGTAGGAACGAAAACGCTTTAGTTTTTGATTTTCCTTACTGTTACCGTATATTTATTACTAGGCTTACCTTCAAATTTCCATACGGGGGTTTTTAACTAAAACTTATATTTTTTTAAGTAAAAAATAAATTTTTTATTCCATAATTAGTTTTTGTTTCATTGAAATATAATTAAAAAAGTTCTAATATATGTTTGCCATCACGTCTCTCATTAAACACACTGCATTTTTTCCCCCTGAAAAAAACTAGTAAACCACAAAGCTACAAAAAAATAATAAAATTTCAAAAAAATGTTAAATGCTATAAAAAAAATTATTCCAAAAGTGAAAAGAGTAATAATTTCAGTTTCTAGAAAAATTTTGGGTATGCTGTTTTATTTATTAATAGATTTTAATATAATAAAGTGCAATCTCCAAGTAACTAAGGGGACGCTTTGATTTTTATTAATTTTTTCGCTAACATTTCGAGCACATCCGCATGCTAAATGGGGAATAAAAGCGTTTGTTATATTATTAAAAATCAACGCATATTGTGCGAAAGACTGAAGCCCACCGTCAACGAGCTGATTGGACCTTATCAGTGTGGCTTTAGGCCTGGAAAATCCACCATAGATCAGGTATTCACAATACGCCAAATCTTGGAAAAGACCCGCGAGAATAGGATCGACACACACCATCTATTTGTCGATTTCAAAGCCGCTTTCGACAGCACGAAAAGAAGTTGCCTTTATGCCGCGATGTCTGAATTTGGTATCCCCGCGAAACTAATACGGCTGTGTAAAATGACGTTGAGCAATACCACCAGCTCCGTCAGAATAGGGAAGGACCTCTCCGAGCCGTTTGATACCAAACGAGGTTTCAGACAAGGGGACTCCCTTTCGTGTGATTTCTTTAATCTTATGTTGGAGAAGATAATAAGAGCCGCAGAACTGAACCGCTCAGGCACAATACTTTATAAGAGCGTACAATTGCTGGCGTATGCCGACGACATCGATATTATCGGTAAAAACAAGGGCTACGTCTGTTCTGCCTTCTCGGGATTGGATAGAGAAGCAAAGCGAATGGGTCTGGTGGTGAACGAGGACAAAACGAAGTATCTCCTGTCATCACACAAACAGTCAGAGCATACGCGTCTTGGCACCCACGTCACTGTTGACAGTTACAAGTTTGAAAAAGTAGACGACTTCGTTTATTTGGGAACCAGCATTAACACCAATAATAATGTCAGCCTTGAAATCCAACGGAGAATCACTCTTGCCAACAAGTGCTACTTTGGGCTGAGTAGGCAATTGAGAAGTAAAGTCCTCTCTCGTCGTACAAAGATCACACTCTATAAGTCACTCATCATGCCTGTGCTGGTGTATGGCGCGGAAGCATGGACAATGAAAGCATCTGATGAGGCGGCTCTTGGAGTTTTCGAGAGAAAGATTCTGCGAAAGATTTACGGACCTTTACGCGTTGGTGATGGCGAATATCGCAGACGATTTAACGATGAGCTGTATGAGCTTTACAACGATATAGACATAGTGCAGCGAATTAAAATTCAGCGGCTCCGCTGGCTTGGCCATGTCGTTCGGATGGACAGAAACGCTCCTGCTCTGAAAATATTCAACGCGGGCCGCGATGCTGGGAACAGAGGAAGAGGAAGGCCTCCTCTGCGTTGGAAAGACCAGGTGGAGAAGGACTTGGCTTCACATGGCATTTTCAATTGGCGTCAGTTAACACAGAAGAGAAATGACTGGCGTGCTGTTTTGGACTCGGCCAAAATCGCTTAGGCGGTTACAGCGCCAAATAAGAAGAAGAAGAATGATACCCAAAATTTTTAATAAAAACCATAAAAAATTAAATTTTGTTGAAAATTTTTGATTATTTCAACTTTTTTTTCTTTTGGGAGAACCCTACAATTGTTTTCAACTAGTTTTTATTATGTAACATTGTTGAACTGAAACAGGCGAATCGATTTTCTTCAAAATTGCTATCTTCTCTAGTTTTTTATATTTATTAGTATAAAGTATTTCTTGAAAAGGCTAGTGTGTGCAGTAGGGTGCTCCAAAAACAGTAAAGTCGGAATTGTAATGCTCTCGAACCCTAGGATTGTTCTATATAGAAAAAAAGTATACCTCTATTTTTTTTAATAAAAAAATACGTAGAGGTCGCTCAAAGCGCTCAAAATTTTCCATGTATTTTTATATGGGAAACAGCAACTTTTAGCAGGAATGGTATAGATTTCTTGAAAATCAATATATTTCGGTCGGAAAACTCTCGTTCTCTTCAGGAGACTTTCAGTAATACTATTAACAATTTTTTATTGGTCTCCTCATCGCATTGTTTGGGGTTTTTGGCGGACCTTTAAGTTATAGTTTTGATGAAAAAATGGTTAAATAAACAACGGGTTATTAATATTGGAAATCTCCTGCAGATAAGCAGGGTTTTCCGATAAAAAAAATAATGATTTTTAAGAATTCCATACCATTTCTCCGAAAAGTTCTTGTTTCCCCATATAAAATACATGCAAAACTTTGGGCGCTTTAAGCACCTCTTAATATTTTTTGATTTCAAAATAAAAAAAATGTGGAAATATTTTTTGGTATGGAACAATAAAAATTCCGACTTTACTATATCACATGCCATATTCACATGCATAATACAGTAACCGATTATCTCAAAAACTGTTATGCAATCATAAGTAAAAAATAGTGTTTTATTGACGAAGGGGGACGAGGAACTATCCCGCATCCCCTTTGGCTACGCCACTGCTTAATTGTGTGCGAACTCTCGAATCGGATGTTTCTTTATTCAGAATTCTGTAGCTATTTTCTTTCAAATTTTTTATGCATTATGTTTTCATGTAAACATTAATTTCCTTCTCTGCAGTGGTCGCTGCCAATCAACAAATGCGCTCCACCACCAACCTACTTATCATCAATCTAGCCGTCTCCGACATACTCTTCGTTGTATTCTGTGTGCCATTCACCGCCGCCGATTATGTGCTGCCCACGTGGCCTTTTGGGGATTTGTGGTGTAAATTCGTACAGTATATGATTGTGGTCACCTGTCATTGCAGTGTCTATACTCTGGTGCTGATGTCATTCGATCGGTTTTTGGCAGTTGTGCATCCGGTCACGAGTATGTCATTGCGTACCGAACGTAATGCGATGCTGTAAGTAAGCGTATAAGTGCTCCGTTTTATAATTAGAGCCCCACAAATTCAATTCAACCTGAGTCCATTAAAATATAAATATTTAAATTTGCATATCCTTTTCCGCAGGGCTATTCTCTGTGCCTGGGTGCTCATTATCACTACAGCCATTCCAGTGGCTTTGGCTCATTCTGTACGCCTCTACTATTTCAAAGGACGTAATTACACAGCTTGCGTTTTCTCCACCGAAGAGAGAGCTTGGAGTTTAATCGGATTTCAGGTAATTCCTTCCTCATTAAATGCTCTGTTTAAGATGATTTGGCAAATTAAATGGATACATATTTACTTTGAATGCAAATTCAATCAACGCCTTCTTGGGAAAGGCATCAAACCAAAACCAAAGAGACTGTCTTTTATTTCTAAACTATAATTCATGGAAATGCCAAATTTGCGCATACTGAACATTTCGCCCATTATACAAATATTTAAAGGTAGTTTTACTTTCCTCTTGTTCGCCATTTGACGTAAACTGAGATTTTGACATTTCTTTTAAATTGAAGCTACCATATTCTTGAGGAAACTAAAAAGTGGTTTTTACTTTAAAAAAAATGTAAATTACTTGAAAAAATATATTTTAAGCATAACTAATTTTATAGCGAGCTTTTAGTTATTTATTTCTAAAATTAAATATGAAACGAAAGGCAAGTAAAACTCTCGTATTACATTGTGTAATGTACATAGAGAATCTATTGGTTTATCCAATTATTTTCATCATTATTTTGTACTACTAGCTGCATATTTCGGGATGGCCACGTGCATGGTAACTTCACGGTAGAAAATTTTAAGCCTCGGGACTAGGGTTGCCAGACGTACTGCTTTTGAGAGTAAACGTACTCCTTTTTATTGCAATGTACTCCCTTGTACTCCCAAAAAAATATATCTGAAAATGTACTCCTTTATTAGCTTTGTACTTCTTTCTGCAATTAAAAAAAGTAGTTAATGTATAGTCTTTAAATTTAACCTTCATTTGGGTTTACCAGGGGGTTTGGGAGAAAATCGCAAGTCTTCGTCGGTTACTTTATTACATATCTTCTGTAACCATAGGCTAATTTCCCCCATTTGGGTCCTTTATACTCCGTCTTTTGTCCAACATAAGGCCTCATACTCAGCAATCGAAAAGACTCGAAACTGGTGACTAGGAGGGCATTCATTCGACCAACCCTATACAGGTTTCTTTTCTTTTTTTTTATACAAAGTCTAGGAAAAAATACACCTGAAAAAGAGGTTCGTGCCGCATGTACTTATCTCCCAAAGCTGGCAAATGCAAATCAGGATTAAAATTTTAAAACCAATTAATAAAATTAAAGTAAAACACAAAATCTATAAAGAACCCTTTTATTTTTCAAAAAACCTGTGCGACAGTTATTATTTTACGCACTGGACGTTGCCATTCATATTGTGGCAAACACTACTTAGTAAGCAAAGTTAAGTGTGATAGTGGCCTTAGGGGCAGGGCGCTCGGGTATAAAAATCAGAAAAATATTAAATTAATTATAAGGCTTAAATTAAAAAAATGACCGTAATTCAGGAAGAGTCTGGAATTCTTTTGTAGTTTTTAGTTTTTTAGTTGGGGAAACTTTCCTATAAGGGCGGTCATTGAGAACCGAATTCTATGCAAAAATACTGTGGACGCAAGTGGAAATCGTGACTTTTGGCAATTTTTCTAAGGGGTCCCTGGGGAACCATAGGGGCACTAGGTGGTCGGGAGTAACATTTTTGTCAATGGCGGCTCATGCCCTCTCCAAAAAGGTCATGACCATGCATCATGATTCGGTCGGTCTAGTATATGCACATTAGGGTGGTCCAAAATACATAGGAAAATCTACTTTTTTGAAAGTTTAAATTGTATTTGGTAATATATTAAAATTAAAAATCTATAATTTCATTTTACAAGTGTTGACTAAAATTCCTGATGCAAATGGCACGTAAGCAAATGGAAAGTGGACAAGTAAGTCGATTAGTTTCTACCACGTTAGCGGGAGTAGACTAACTATACCCGGCAGTAATTCGAGCTCAGATAAGCTGAGACAGTGTAATCACTCTCAGGCGGCCACGGTAGAAAAAGAAAGCCAAAACTTAAGCGTTGATAAAATTACAAATTTCGAAATGCAGTGGAAAAACATACATTTGTATTCACGGGAAAATGCAGGCTCCACCATAAACTCTTGGATCTAGGCAAAGGAACTCAAAAATTAATTAGAAGAAAATCCTTTTTCTGAAAGTTTGTTTACCTTACTAATTTTACCTTAAGGAGAGAAGGAAATACAACTTTTCAGAAAAGTTTTTATGGTCAATTCAAATATTTCAGATATTTGCAGATTTTAACAGTTTGTAAAGTATTTTAGTTCATCGTCTAGTTCAGGGGTTCCCAGACTTTTTTCACCTCGGCACACTTGTTGTGCTAAAAAACTTCGCGGCACCCCTACTCTTCAAATGTCTACGAAAACAAGAAAACAAAATGCTCCTTTAGCTTTTATGTGAGGACTGAAATTGTTTTGATGATTTCATAATTTCCTTTAAGTTCATTGGGAGCTTTGACAATTTTACCTTGAAATCATTTGACGCTGAAAGCTTGCTGCTGTATTTGTTTTTAACCGACTTCACAAAAGGGATAAGGTTATCAATTCAACGGAATATTTTTTTATTATTTTTTTCTATGTATGTTACCGCATAACTTTGGACCACGTTAACCGATTACTATAATTCGTTTTTAAAGGGAAGGTGTTACCTGACAGGTGGTCTAATTTGGTTTAAATCCGATCTTTGGATCATGAATAGATTAACGACAAAATTAAATTCTTAGATGGGAATTGAAATCAGTTTTGTTTTATTTTTTTTTTGCTTAAAAATTACTTGTTTATGTAAGCATTTGTTGAAAATGCAGTCTCACATAGAAATCTAAATGTAAGGCCCCTATTATGAGTTGCATTCGACTGTGGTCGAAAGTGCTAATCGAACGAATTTTCATTTGGTATTATGACGCTCATTCGATGAAGAATAGCACTATTGAGAATTTTGCTCGGTTAGGTTGTTTGCAATAGTATATTTTTCACCGCTGAGAAGTTTTGTTTACAAATCGAGCAAACTAAATAGTGTGCTTATACATATGTATATATGTAAATTTGTGCAAATTAAAATGAAATAAAAAAGAAAGCGAGTTTATTAAAGCGTGGTAAAAATGAGTACAATCTGTTTCAACGATTCGTCAGAGGATGAGAGCTTGATAAACTGGTCAGGAGTAGAAAATGTTTAAATGGGTTTAAGTGTAGTCTTTCGAATATATTTTGACATAAAATATATATAAGAAATTTGTCAACAGATTTATTAAAAACTTCCGACTGTCTAAAGAGGCGTTTGTGAGTCCAATCTATTTAAAATATTTTAAAACTATCAACAGCTTACGATTTTGTTCTCAGATATCGCGTGAACTGAGTATTGGGATTTTCTTTCAAAAGTAAAACCATCCTTTCGAGCTTGTGTTTAATATTCATGACGTTAGAACTGCATGAAATTAATAAAAAATTGTTTAAAATTAGTCTAGCTGGCATAAAGTAAAAAGGCAAATGCAAAATCATATATTTTTCACAATTTTCTAGCACTTCGCTACACCATCGGAAGCAAAATTCTGTTCGACAGAAAATTCGATACTCAACGAAAATTCCGACACGGTTGCATAGCTTGTAATTTCACTTTCGATATTCGATAACCAGCGAAGATCGAAAATCGAATGCAACTCATAATAAGGGCCTAAAAGTCACTAGTATTTTTAATGTAATCTTGCCAAGAGCAGTGTTTTCTGCATACACTTCCATCCAGACCTCTCTTGGCTCCCTTCGTAGTATTTAATAATCAAAGTGCTGTCTTCACTGATGTCCAGAAGGTTTTCGAAAGCTTAATTGGTCTTCTCAGTAGGTTTACTTTTCGGGCCACATGAAAACGGGTTTGTTATCCAGCTCAAGCCATCCTCATAGTCAATGTTGGGAAAATATTCGACAATGGTTTTTTCTAAACCTTCCAAGTTAACGCTGGTAATGCGCGTTGATAAAGCGAAAGGGATACATGATTTTAATTTTTTGAAATTTATATGGAAATTGCTAGTGAAACCGGCTGTTATCAATTTTCTTAGCGTTAACTTCGAAGTTACATACCTTTTTCTGATTACTTTGTTTGCTTATGGGGTTTTCATGCAAATTGCTATAAATTCTAAAATATACATGTCACCAATAAAATAATCTCGACGTGCTAGAAAAAACCAGAGATGTGTTTTAATTTCGCAGGCCTCTGTTATCTTCGCAGCGTCATTCAATACGGGTTTTAAATCTAGTGGTGGCATCTTCCTAGTCGCCAGGGAATACCGAGGGATCATACAGTGGCTGCTCGTGGCGATTTCTGCCTCTTGCTTCATCCTAGACATCGCCCCTTTCGTTCGCAGACTTTCAAACCATTGTTCTGTACAAATTGTTCGATAGCTTTAAAAATTTAGTCGCTAGTGGCATAAGTCTCAAGTACTTCGTTCTTCTTCGATTTGCATTGCGAATGGGTACCTCACTAATACGAGGCCTCTGAAATCGTGTTGATTCGCTCTTTGACAGTGTGATTGTGAAGTTCCAAAAGTACCGAAAGTGGTTGTGAAAAGGGTAGGTTTTCGGCTATTTTTCTGAAATTTTCTGATTAAATTTTACGTTGACAAAACGTGCTGCGGAACTAAATACGCCTAAGAGCGAAATATCCCTTTGCTGCAAGCTATTTGTGTTCTGTATGAGGTTTGACGAGCCGCTGAAGGTAATTTTATTAAAAATCAATTGGGGGTTGGCTGGAGGCAAAAATTTTGAGCCACCCTAATGCAAACATTTATGTAAATGGTTATGTCGTATAACTAACTATTCATAACTTTATGCTTTATCCAACTTTGTTCCAAGATATCTTTCTTTATATCGTCGTACGTTGCACCACTGACTTTGATTTGCTTTCTCTATATGGGTATGTTGGCGCGTCTGTGGAGAAGCGCACCTGGATGTAAGCCATCCGAGGAGTCAAGGTAAGCAATTTTTATAGCATATTTGACATTTTTGTGCGCACACATTTATATATTTAACAGGGTAAAGTAACCCTAATTGCCCAAAAGTACGTACATATGTATGTAAAATTTTTATGATATTTCTTGGATTTAATATATGCTTGGTGTTATATAACGAGCTATACTTTTATAAAAATATAGTGAACATTAAACCAACAAATGAAAAATAATCAAATCGTAGAGCTCACTGTTTAACACATTTAAAAAAAACATATTATACTCATCTATTCCCTAATATTATCGAGATAATTGTGAAAGTAGAGAAAAGTAGACATTTGAACATCCTTCCTTTTTGGTTGTTGTTGTTTCCGACAGGGTGGGTGTATGATGTATTATGGAACGAACCAAATTTGACAAGGGATGACGGAAATTCGTTCCATAATACATCATTTGAACATCCCTTTATTTTCGCGTATGTATTTAATTTTCGAACATCTGGTAGCACCTTTCTATTCACCATTACAACCATTTTGATTTGTTTGCTTGTTTACTATGTTCAACAAAAGTAGTGAACTTATTAAACGCGTTTTAGTATATTGTTAAAAAGTAAACTTCGTTACGACGTCGCACAGTGTTTCGACTATATGGAGGCAGATGGAAATAATAGTACACCTGCACCGATTTCACTGAAACTTGACATGTGCTCCAGTTTTACTTAGAAATAGAGAATTATGAAATTTTGTAAAGATAGAATAATTGCCACGCCCTCTACTATTGTGGGCGGAAACATTAACTCTCATCCGATTTCGATGAAATATAGTTTGTAGTCTTTATTTTATTAGAAAAACCTAAATATAAAATATGGGGAAGATTGGATTACTATAACGTTCAAAACTCACAAAAAATGTGGGCCCAGCCATTAAATGTGATGGAATTTTGGGTAATTTTTGGTTCCTGCTTTCCACTCTCAGAAAACAAAGGTTATACAATAAAATGACTCAGGTGGCAATACTCGCTTTTTTCCCAATATCTGGTGGGATTTTTTCATTGTTTGAAAAATTCTTTTCGCTAAATTATGCAAAAAGAAGCTGAAAATCAAAAATTACATATATTTGCAAAGTCGCGCGCAAAGATCAAATTGTATATTCGAAAACTACATAAAATTCTGTAAAATATTAGTCTAATTTCAAGACCTGACGGACCGGTACTCACACTTTTTTTTACTAATAATCTTTAGCATCTACATTTCAAAGTAAATTTTTTGGTAAGAAAATAGGAAAATACCAAATAAATGATAAATACCTTCACCTGAATATTCCACGACATTTAGATAATTAATTACAATTGAAAAAGAAACACTTTCTGTAATGGGTTCAGCGCCAAATGCAACTAAACTGATTAGTCGGTATCGCGCCCATTCCCGTATTTTTTTGGAAATGTATCGTTCGAGAAGAATAAATAATGGAAATGTAATGTAAATAATGTAATGTAAATAATGTAATGGTGAGTAAAAAATGTAAAATTTGGTACTTATGACTTTTACTATTCCCTCTCTAAGTCAAACCGTTTTTTTTTACCAACTGTCACCATGACTTTTTTCTACCTGCCTCCATATAGTCGAAACACTGCGCGTCGTTTGGCAAATTGGTAGGAGTCATAATAATAATAATAATAATATCCCAACGGTTTTTACCCTCCATTCCCGCCCATCCGTACGAGGGGCGCAGTCCGCATGACGTACGGAACGAGTATTTTCAATTTTTGCGCCGAGTCACGATAGGCAGGAGTTGGTTAAGTGTCGAGATCTAAAACTGTTCAGCTACAGAACTAAATTCATCAGCCGATTTTATGTCTTTATTTTAATAATTCATTTATTGAGAGAGGACAGTATCGATTTCTTAATGCTGAAAAGCGGCTCTGATATATCAAACGTGCTGGAATGAGAGTTAAAATCCTGGTATAAGCAACGGAGTGGGTCGTGCAATTCAAAATTAGTTTTACAAGCTTTCAGAAATAGGGGGAAAAAGTGTCTTGATACCCGGGAGGGAACATTAAGGCTAACTTCGCCAAGAAGAAGCGGACTTGAAATTGAGCCTGTTAGTAATTTAACTATAAAAATTGTACCAAGCATTTGCCTGCGGCTGGAAAGTGTAGGAAGATTATTAAGTTTTAATCGGCTCGTATAAGGTGGAAGGTTATATTGAGAATCCCAACGGAAATTTCTTAAAGCAAAAAGTAGGAATTGTTTTTGAATTGACTCTATCTTGTCTGAGTAAATTTGATACCTTGGATTCCAAACCACCGAACCGTATTCCAGAATTGGCCTAACTAATGTTGTAAACAGGGTCTTAGTGATATAAGGGTCACAAAATTCTTTTGACCATCGTTTCACAAATGCAAGTACACCTTTAGCCTTGTTGACTGTCACATTAATATGAAGATTAAAATTAAGCTTAGGATCCATTGTGATACCAAGGTCCACAAAATTGTATACCTGTTCCAGGTTATGGTTACCTATTGTATAAGAAGTGGGATGAACAGCTCTTCGCGAGAAGCTCATTACTTTACATTTCTTAAGATTTAGAGGCATAAGATTTACTTGACACCAGTAAGCCATACTGTCTAAGTCTGATTATAGCAAAGACCTTTCTTTAATTGAAACGTACGATTTATAAAGCTTTACATCATCTGCATACATTAAAATTTTGGAAAATTGTATATCTGTAGAAATATCGTTTATAAAAAGCAAGAACAGAACCGGGCCTAGGTGGCTACCTTGAGGGACTCCTGAAGTAACATCAATGACGTCAGAGATAGTATTTTTAAACATTGCCCTTTGTGATCTATAATAGAGGTATGAAGAGATCCAACGTAGAAAATTAGGTGGAAGACCAAGAAGATCAAGTTTGTAGATGAGCAAAGAGTGGCACACTTTGTCAAATGCTTTACTGAAGTCAGTATATATAACATCAACAGTTTTGCTTTCACAAAATGCTTTTGAGATGTAGGATGTTAATTCGAGTAAATTTGTAGAAGTTAATTTGCCCTTGCAAAATCCATGTTGACTATATGGAATTCTAGAAGAGATAGAATGCGTCAACTGATTTGTTATAATTGCTTCAAATAATTTAGGAATTGCAGAAAGCTTAGCTATTCCCCGGTAGTTCTCCACTGAAGATCTGCTACCGCTTTTATGTAACGGGGTTATGAACGATTCCTTCCATATAGTTGGAAAAACGCCCTCTTTAAGAGATAAATTAAATATCGCTGTTAACGGCTCATAGAGATAATTAGAACAATTTATAAGAATACAAGTAGGGATCTGGTCAGGACCATAACTGAGGGACTGCTTTAAGGATTTCAGCTAAACTACTACATCATCGGGAGATATTACTGGGATATTTATTGAGTTCATTGGACATAGTTTAAAAGGATAGTCAATGTTAGCATGTGAGTTTATGGAATAATTGGATTTAAAAAACTGAGCGAACATTTTAGAAATTGTTTGATTATCACTAGAGACGGTATTTTGATACTTCATGGCGGAAGGAAACCCACGTACATGTCGGTGTAACTAACACATATTTCATTTCACAAACAGCAATAAAATGGCAGAATGTTCGAGGAATGTCGTTGGATGTTCGACAGTGAGAAACGTCAAGTGGATAAATACTGCGAACAGGGAGAGAATGGGAGAATGAGCGATAAACTTCAGAACGTTCTATGATGGGGGTGAGGATTTTGGGAAATCCGTCAAGTAAACAAGGATAATCGTAACAACTGGTGTCAGAAGTGGGATTGTTAAATAAATCCCATAAGAGAAACTCCAGAAAATGGCAAAAATTGAAGAACTGAAAATCGGGGAACTCAAACAGGAGTTGGTAAAGCGAAATTTATCAACCTCCGGGAGAGAAGTGGAGTTACTATCACGGCTGCGAGAGGCCATGAAAAAGGAAGGCATCGGCGTTGACAAATACGACTTCGATCGTGAGGACGACGAGGCATCCCGGAAGGATGAACAGAAGCATGAATCTCCTACGAAGATTGAAGAAAAGGGACGGGCTCCCATTATGGACATGAACACGTTATTGAAAGAGGTCATCGCAGAATTCATACCAGCTGGAAGCGGAGAGGTCGCAGTTGTCGTCAGATGTCTCATCACAGTTACAAGAGCTGGAGACACGTATATCATCAGCGCAGATGTCAGCCCAACTGGAAGCACAGGATGCAAAGATTGCACAAATACAGGAAAAAGCGAAGACAGAGAGGACAAAGTCGAGACTATGATGGGCGAGTTGGAAGGTCGTCTCTGAGACTTGCAGTTGAATTGTTCAGCCGCTTCGACGAACGCTCACAAGGTAAAAACTCCAGCCTTTCATAGCACGATTGCTTTCCAAGTCTTTAAGCTTCGGCTACACCAAACAACTGGAGTATGGAGGATAAATCCGTTGTGCTGTTTGTTGCATTGAAAGGTCCGGCGTCGGAAATCTTGAAGACTATTCCTGACTGTGAAAGGAACAACTACGATGCATTGATGGGTGCTGTGGAAAGGCGTTATGGTAGCGAACACAGGATGCAAATTTACCAGATGGAGCTGGAGAATCACCACCACAATCCAACGAGTCTCTACAGGAATTCGCCTCTGAGATCGAGAGTTTGGCTGATTTGGCAATTGGAGACGCATGTGGTGAGCACCTCGAAATGGTGAAAATCCAGAGGTTCATCTCAGCGGAATGCGGGACATGTACACCAAGTGAAAGACGTATGCGAATTCAAAGACAACATTTTCTGAAACTCTCTCGTATGCTCAGACGAAACAGCGGTGCTCCTTAGAACACCAGCCTACAAAGCCCATCGAGTAGAAGTGGAGACAACTGACAGGATGAGCGAGATCCTGAAAGCACTCAAGTCGATGGCAGGGAAAATACTCCTGGTGAAACCGAGAGAAAGGATGTTGCTGGAAAATGCTTTAGTTGCGAAAAACCTGGCCACTTCTCACGCGAATGTTAGATGGGTTCTAACTGGTGTAACAGTTCAGCAGTACGTAAACGCAGGGCTCAGGAAGACGAGCCGATCAGACGTTAATCTAAAACGAGCCAGCAGAAAGGGGCGCGCGCTAGCTCCCACAATTTAATGCCCCAAAATCTCCGTCTCGTGAGTTGTCAGAAAAGCGAGAGATGGGCCTTGTGCATAAAAAGTGAGCTTAAGCTCAGACTCAATTTTTGGACTGGCGAAGTGAGCTCAAGCTCTAGAATTTGTACTGAAAATCACGTCGGAGCTTAAGCTCACTTTTTTATGCATATGGCCCAATGTTACTGTTGGTGGATAGGTGGACGGACATGAGCGATTGCTGACAGCGGATACTCAAGCGTCACATTCCATAATTCGACCTTATTGCCCAGTTTTTATGTGAAGCCACTACCTGGAGCAAAGCGACTGGTGAGCGCACCCAAGTGATGGGAGAAGTACCACCCGAGGTAATAATCGGGGGCTTGGCCTCGTAGACCAAGTTTATAGTGGCAGACATTGTGGATGAAGTCATCATCAGCATGGACTTATTACTTGGCCAAGGCATGAAAATTTACCTCCAGGGAATGATACTGACATATCGCGACAGGAAAGTGCCACTTAGGGTTGACTACGTCAACCAGTACTGCAGCAGACGGTTGGTCTTAGAGGAAGTGCTGAAGACCCCACCAGAAACGGGAGCGGTTAGTTGGGCAGAGGTTGGCAGTGATGGCGATGAGGAAGAGGCCCAGTCATTAAGGAAAAACCTGAAGGTTCCGCCAACTCTGTAAGAAGGAGGAAGTCACCACAAGGAAGTATTCATGGCAAGCCAGGCAGTATTTCCAGCAGGAAGAGAGCCACTGAACTACGCTTCAATGCTGATACGCCGGTTGCCGGAAATGACGGAGGCTGTGAAGGCAGTAGGCGCGCTTCGATGTATCCAGGAAAAGGTCGTGCTTTTCAGAGGAAGCAAAGGCAAGCAGTAAAGCCGGAGGCCAAAGTTGAGGATATACATGACCTGTCAATGAAGTGGATATCGGCGTAAGAGCGAAATGCGGAAACAATAGGCAAGTTTCAGCGTAAGGATCCGGATTTAGCAAGATAAGCCAAACGCAGTGCAGCTCGAGGATCGAAGCCTGGTAGTCATGGGCAGAGGAACCGGAATAAATCCGGCGAAAGAGGTGCCCATGGGAAGAAACATGGTCTGATCACCACCCGTTGCCGGCAGATGTATGGCCATGTGAGATGGTGCACTCCCGGTGATAAGTCGGAAGTAATGCCTAATAACGCATCGAGCCGAGGGGCGTTTCCGGGATGTACAAGCCGTGTCGGATGAAACGATTCACCTCCAAACAACGACGTAACTGGAAAGTTCCGTATAAGATTGCATGACGCACAAACGGTTGATTGAGACCGAGAACCAAGATGAAGGTGGAAGGGCTTGAAAAGGCTTGCAGCATTTGGAACAGCAAGTGTGTCAGATTGGGATGATCAGACTTAGGAAAAGGGCAGTGTGGCGAATACTGCGGTAGTGCGAAACGAACAACAAGAAAATGACAGAATGTTCGAGGAATGACGTAGATGGCTCGAGAGTGAGCGTCAAGTGGATGAATACTGCGAACAGCGAGAGAATGAGCGATAACCTTCAGAACGCAGGTATGTACTTCGCATAACTTCGCACATCCATTTGTACAGTGCAATAAAAATGCAACTTAAGAGAATGTGAAGCAAAATATAAACTCAACAGATCGCTAAGCTTTTAAAAGTTCTGCTAATTTCGGGGTAATGGAATACATACAAATTAGTTACAAAGTACTTACGAAATTACACTTTGAAGTTTATGCGAAGTTGTGCGAAGTTATCAGACCATAAGGCCGCTGCTACAGCGAAGTCAGGCAGTTGCAAGTAAGCAAGCTACCAGACAAGTCAGTTCCGAATCAGCAAGCTACAAGTTAAGTTGTAGAAGAGAGATCAATTGTGTTATCAAGTTTTGTAAAGTGTTTTAATTGCCTTAACGAGTATTGTAATGTGTGTGTTGCAAAATGAAGTTAATTGTACTGTAATTTGGTCATACTGAGTACTTATTTAACAATCCAGCGATACGAACCGAGAGGATTTTGGGAAATCTGTCAACTAAACAAGGATAAGTGTTTTTCAGCCCAATTAAAAAATGTTTACGGCATGTACTTAGCTCAACATGTCCGCACGCAGTTGAAATCGCCCTAAATTCTAGTAAAGATGTCTGAGAAGAGATGTGGTGACCGATAAAGCAGAAGTTATATGTAGCTTTTACCTCTTTATACTATCGTTATTGGAATTCGCGCTTCTGTGTATTCGCTGTATCCTGCGTAATTGTAACTGGACGAGCGTGTGGTTGTTGTTGTATGTGTATTTGATGTACCGCTAGCAATAACAAATCACACGCTCATGCAGTTACAATTACACATCATACAACGAATACGCAGAAGAGCGAATTTCCCTATTTTCTTTTTAAGTGATACTTATACTTACTTATGTAGGTTGATGTAGAAAATCTTATGCGTATTTCTTATCGCAAATTTTTTTTTCTTGTGATTCACCTACTTTCGTAGATATTTTTTGAGTTTTCAGTTATCCGAGGTGGCCTTGGTACTGACCAGCTCGGATAAACGGGACTCTACTCTATATGAATGCAGCACGATTTTTTTTTATTCTATTATTTTCAAACTACGTAATTTGCGTATTTTCAAAAATTTCAGAAAAGGTAAACGACGCGTGACACGGATGGTTGTTGTGGTGGTATTGGCATTCGCCATATGTTGGCTCCCTATACATGTGAGTAAAATAGGTACAAATGTATTTGTATGTGATTTTAAGTATGACAATATGCCGTAAGAATTTATTTGTACATACATACATACTTACCTAGTTATACGCACACGCACATATATTTGCATGGTCCAGCAGCAGGAGATTAACAAGTTCTTATCGACTATAAATACATATCTACTAAATATATGAAAGACAGTGAAGCCCAAACGTTGCGACGAGGAATATGTTCTGCCAAAGAATTAATTGAAAAGGTGTGAGCATTCGCGCAGTGCAAAGATATTTTGAATGAAAAGAATGAGGGATTTGGGCCTTGATTAATTTTGAGCAGTACAGAAACCATACTGGCTTACAAAGAATTGCTACCGATCTTTTCAATGGAGTCATTTTTAAAAACTTCGGTGCCAGAAGCTCATTGTATAAATTTAAAAATTTGCTCCAAAATAAAACCAAGTAATTCCAAACAAATTTTATTAGTAGCGTATAAAAAATCGACATCCGCACCACCCAACGGCGTCAATTTAAGTAATATACGTTCTAAATATGAAACATATTGGACCATAAATGGGACATACTTTTTTCATATCTGACACCAAACTTGGCGTCACACTTTCGATTGGCTTCAAATTCTTTTTATCGGTTCTATACATGAAATAAGCTAACACATGTTCGAGGAATTTTTTTTTTCTTTTTTTCTTTGGAGATATGATTTGTCAAGGTTTGCATTTTTTCGTGGTTCTGACTAATCATGCACTTCTTCAAATCGTAATATCTCGAGTTCTGTCCATCGCAGAGACTTCATGTTAACGTCGTTTTAAAGCTAAAGAAACGGGCTTAATATTTCCATATATAAAATGGTCAAGATTGCCCTAAAGCTTACTTACCTTTTTGAATTTTTTGAAGTTGGTTTGCATAGTGAAGACCAGTAAATTAGGGTTTTAAAATTATACCACCGTAATCCTTGTTTAGTTCTCTATAAAAAAACGTGGTTCAAAAAAATTGGCGTTTTTAAACAACTATTTTTAAAATATTTTTCTTTATGTAGAGATGGTTTATTTCGTGAGAATCAAAAATTTTTTGTTATTTGTTTTCGAAAACTTATGTTGATATATATTTAGTAAGGTGCTAAACATCGAGTTTTTGCAAGAATTTAAATTTTATTGTAGATTCCAATAGAATACCCCCCAGGTATAATATTTGTACGGCAAGATTTTTCTTTAATGCGTCAAACCCCTAGAAATGGCACAGCATAGATTTTATTGTGGATTTCGACAGAATATCGCTTCGTTAACAACATTTGATCCACAATTTTTTCAATCAAAGAGTATTCTAGAAATGGGCGTGGCTATATTAAAACCAAAGTTGAAAGATTTAGACTTTATTGTGGATTGGTAACGAAGCGATAGTCTGCCGAAATCCGCAATAAAAGCTGCGGTTTGCTAACTTTAGTCCTGCAATTGCCACGCCCATTTCTAGGGGTTTGTCGCCTTAAAAAAATCTTGCCATACAAATATTTTATCTGGATAGGTATTCTATCGGAATCCGCAATAAAATTTTACCTTTTCCAAAAACCCCATGTTTAACACCTTACCAAATATATCTTAACATAAGTTTTCGGAAAAAAATTACAAAAAACTGTTGACTCTCACAAAAAAACCATCTCGTTATAAAGAAAAATATTTAATAATTGAAGTATTAAAAAGAAAAAAATTATTCCAAATATCGCCTGAAGCGATAATTAAACGACTCATTCAGGTAATGAGAAAACGACTCGTCCAGGCGAGTTGCCTTCGGCGGACGTTTTAGAGCGATGGTAATAGGAAATCGATACGATGGCAATATTATCGGCAATAAATTTGTTTCCGAGACCGTTTCTTATTGCCGGCAACAAAAATTGTTTGGTGGGTAGTGTAGAACTTAACCAAGCTTATTTACCTGCCTACATAGATACGATAAGAAAAAATTTATTTATTCCCGTTCAGGCAGTGTCACACGACTGGGTATTTACCCAAAATATTGTTAAAATTGTATCCCAATCGTTTGAATGCACAAATATGTTTCTGTATCCCAAAAACGATAAACAATTTTTGAAAATTTTTCGATAGAAGTTGGCTGTATTGTAACAGTCGTCCCACCAGACAATTTTTGTTGCCGGAAGTAAGGAAACTTGTCGCCCTCAGCAAAAAATGTATTGCCGGAAATACCGCCATCGTATCGATTTCTAGCCGCTCTAAAACGTCCGCCGCAGGCAACTCGCCTGAGCGAGTCGTTTTATTATTGCTACAGGCGATATTTGAATAATAATTTCCTGCAACAATTTTACTCTTTTTTAATATTTCATTTGTTTTTGAACACAATCATATAATTTGTAAATGAAATAAACTATTTTCTTCGCTATGGGCCCTCCAATTTTTTCAACCCTGTCTCGGGCATAATTTAGATGTGTTTGAAGAATCCGTTGGCGTGGAGTGCATCAGTTTGGGAATTTTTGAAAACATATTCCTAAAATGACATAAAAGAAATAACGTTGCCGATTTCTCACTACGGCAATAAATCGGCGAGTCTCCAATTTGTTGCCATTGACGATTGTTGCTTATTTCTCATGTTTTACATGGTGGGGTGTGACTACAAAAAAAAATTTCTTCCCATATTTTTATTTTGTACCAATAGCCCAATATAAAAAATTTACAAATCTGTACAAATGTACCAATCGTGTGACACTGCCTTAAGAAATTTTTTGAAAGCCTTCCATTTTTAAATTTACAGATAATTCTTGTCATGAAAGCTTTGGAATGGTATCCTGGCACACATGTTTCTGTAATAATACAAATCATCTCACATGTTTTGGCATACATGAACTCCTGCATTAATCCTATATTGTATGCCTTCTTATCAGACAATTTTCGGAAGGCATTCAGGAAGGTATATTTATTACTTTTGTTCATATTAAAGCATTATTTTTATATATGAAATTTTTTAACTAAAAATGTTTTTATGTTTAAATTTAATTTCAGGTTGTTGGCTGTGGCAATCAGCCGCTTTTCCCGATGGTACATCAAGTTACAAGAACAACACGTACCACAGGCAATGCAACGTCCAACGCCGACATCCTGTAAAGAGAACCACACACTCGCATTAAAACATGCAAATGTATATACAAATGTATATAGGTCGATATCGTCACCTGAAATGCAAAAAGACGTAACAAACATCGTCTCTGAAATACAAAAAGTCGTGACTAATAAAAATTCAAAATTGTGTTTTTGATCAATATGATGGATTTCATCGAATTACAACTCCCATATCATTTTATGAAAAAAATAATATTAGTCACTACTTTTTCCATTTCAGTTATGATGTTACGTCTTTTTGCATCTCAACTGACGATATGCATGTGTACATATTTTACAATACGCACACATTAGTACTTAGAGTTATACAATAAAACGTAAATAAGTATTAATTATTATCAAATATAAGCCCTTATCATAAAGAAAATAAATGTATGCAAACATATTATTTCGCTTTTTTTAAATTATGTATTTCTAAACTTCTTTTAATATCAATCTAAAACGCACGGAAACCATTTCAGTTTATTGAGTCTTGTGTTTTCTTTAACTTGTTTAGCCATTTATTAAAAAATGACTAGATTACTAGCAGATTATGTTGCAGATCTGAAAGGGCTCATCAAAAGTCTAAACATGTCCTTTTAATTCTGCAATTCAGCTCCTAATTGAGCTCAATCAATCATAAAAGAGCTCAAATAATAAATGGAGCAATTATTTGTTAATTGCATATAAATTCCGTCGAATCGCCAAAGCAACCTTGTGTGCAGACTAAATTTAGTTAAATAACCGTATAAAATGACATAGAAATAAATTCGAAAACTAAGAAAAAATCAAGTATTATATAGTTTTTTCCTAGCCAGCAGGGGTAGTTTTAAATTTATTTCAAACCGTTTTGATGATATGCTCAGATGAACTGAATGAAATAAATTAACCTGTTTTGGTAGAAATCTATATTGGCGGTGCCACACACATTTCCATAAATTAATAGTAGTCTTATTTCTGTTTAAGAGATTGTATGAGTATCAAATTGGAGTACATTAAAAATTTGAAGTATCGAAGTTTTTTATGGCCTTATAACAATTGTATTTAACAATTTTTATTGAGCTTGAGGACGTTTTTTTAATGAAGTTTTCGTATTTCTTAAATTTACCGTTATAGGAAAGTTAGCGTAATTTAGCGTTGGCGAAAACCCGTGACTGAACTCTCCGCGGGGGTGCCGACTGGTAATGGATGCCACATAGTGAGTCTGTGCAATGTGACGATGGTATCCAGCCAAGACCAGAGATCAGTAGTGTGTGTTTGAGGTCCTCAATAGCTACTTACAAGGTTGTGAGACCACGGCTGTGAGGACTTATCGTGAGAAGCGCATCTGCGTAGAAAGCCCAGTCTGCTCGCTTTCTGTTCCTTTATGCTGTTAAAATCAAAATTGAGATTAAAACTAATGTAGAGGTGGTCAAAAAAGAGTGTTCTTTGGACACCTGCCAGTCCCTTATCCGATCGGACCAACCGCTCGACACAAGGGTTATGTTCAGCACTTCCCTTCTAAAAGAGGTCACAAAAGTGGGATCGTTCCCACGGTTACATACAGTAAGATTATATAAAGAATAAAGTCAAGCAAACACTCACCTCGGGAGTTGGTGTCGCTTGAGCCCCAGTTCGTATTATGGGAATTAGAGTCGGCCCTATTATGGCCGGGAGTTTCCTGCGATTTGGTTCCTGCACAGCTTCTCTCAGTATATAGATAGGGTGGAAAAACATGGCTGTCGTGGGCTATGTAGGTGGTTGCCAGCCAGATCACGCTGTCCTTCAGTTGGACGCTGATGCAAACAGTGTTCTCGTCGCTGTATTGGGAGAGTAAAAAATGAGAATACACTTTTTTAATTAGAACACAATCTGTGATCCTACCTGCTACTGGAGCTGTTACCTCCTGGTAGGCATCAGAGTTCAGTCTGCAAACCTTGTTCCTGACGATCCAAGGTTCTTGGACTAGAATCAAGTCCTCAGCTTTTTAACTGAGGCGAAGAAGGAGATCAGCCGAGGATCTGCCCCATCCTCAGAATTGGTTATGTCCATTGCTTCTAGCTCCCTCCGCTCGGCGGCAGTAATGACTTTGATGTCATCGTCCTCCTCCTCCGGTTGGGATACCAGCAGCTGGTCCTCGTCCAGCGTTGCCCACCGACTGTAGACCGACCCTAGACAGATCTGTCGCGGTATCGGATACTCTCATTGGTGGGGGTCCACCGATGTCGACTCGGGGTCCGCAGGTCCGCTCGCGGCGTTGCTTGTTTATTTGGCCCCTTCGTCGGGGGTAATGTCTGAAGGAGCGGGTCCGCTCGAGGCATTCCCCGTCTCTTGCCCTTGCTGCTCCCTTCTCTGGTGAATTTTTACCGTAGCTAATTACCTTACCACAATCCTCGAGATCAGGGACAGAAGCATTGTTGCTGAGAAAGCCAACAAAACGCTGCTTCCGCTTGGTTTCGCCAACTCGGACTATTCTCGAATCGCTGGTGAGCAGTCCTTCGTTGCTCAGTCGGATGAACTCGAGTATTTCCCTATGGACGGCAACTAAGTCGACTCCGGGCCACAGCTGTCCAATTGTAGAGATAGCTTCCTTATAGAGCCGGACCGCGCGCTCATCGGCGCACGCTACCAGCTTAACTCGCCCTTGATGCCATTTGACACAGCGGACGACTGGTGCAGGGCCAGGGTACTTCTGGTGTATCCCTTTATATACTTGCATAAACCCAGCAGGACGGACTTCCAGTTGTCCGTGGTAATGTCCAACACCGCCAGCGTGAGGTACTAGGAACCACTCGAGGTGTCGTCCTGAGATCGCTGTCTCTTGGAGGCAACGTCAGTGGTTTGTCTTTCCCGCCTTTCCCGGAGGATTGCTTGTCGCTGGCCCTGACGGAGGGCGAAATTCTGATTGCTGCTTTGGAGCAGCCGGGGCGCAGATCAAGGTCATTTGTTCCAGTCGTTGAGGATTTACTCGCGGGAGTGAACCTCTGCTTATCCGTGGAGGACTTGCGCTCGACCAATTCCCCTTGCGATTTCCGCAGCTTCCCCGCCGGCTTCGACTTTCCCTCATGGGGTATAGTTCCATCGGCATCCCTAGAGGTTTGCTTTCTCCCTGGGGCCGGAAAATAAGAAAAGGGGAAAAAACGGTCGACCACGGCAGAGCCCCATGCAGCAGCAAGTCTACCGTTACCCCCGGAGGCGGACAGGTATAGGATGCATAATTTTTATCTAAAATATTAACACTGTTATTCCAAGAGGATGGCTATGTTCTTCAACATTGCTCTTGATACGTAGTAGCTAGCTGTTTGAAATTTACATTTGATAAAAAAAGCATTTTAAGCTGCCAAATTATAGTTATTTCACAGATCAAGCAAATGTTGATCAATTTCGCGTTCAGCATACGCCCTGGCAGTCAAAGAAATGCCCATCAGTAAGAAAGATAAAACGTAAGTTACAATTTGTCGATTTGAGTGAAACAAAAACAAGTCGGTAATTGAAGGTACATACTAATTATGTAATGTGATCCAACACAGCGTACAATTCTTTGGAACAAAACAAAAAAATAAATAAAATGTTACGGGACATTTTTCCCTCTCATTGTACATATATTCAATAACTTTTCAAAAACAAATATTTTCCATATTAGACCCGCCGTTTGAATTTTAACCCTTAGAGGGCGACGTTATTTTACATATTTTAAAGGTAATCTTCGTCGAATCGACAAAGTCCTTTTTGTTTTAAAAATGAATCAATTAGCATACAAGATTGCCAAACTACTTTTAATAATGATGAACCTTAACATAAAAAAACCACAGAGGCTACTTATTTTTGAAGCGTTTATATATATTGTATAGCAATTCGCTCTTCAGTCCAATGGAGAGAAAAATGGAAAAAGACCAACACTGTTCGTCAAATCGACAAATACTATCCGTTTAGGGTTAAGAAAGTGCAGCAAGAATCGTATACAGCGACTTTATGAACATACTATGCAAGCTTTTTCCATTTTACAATTAATCTATGTATTAACTTTGTCCATCTGCTTCTTACGATTATCGAAGGCAGATGGAACACTTAGTTTCAATATGATGTGGCTTATAGTTTCTAATTTATGGTCCTCTAATTATATACGATGTCAAAATTGCAAGTCCTTCCATTCGTGTGACAACACTAAGTACTCCAAAAATGTAAGGTGAAGCCCGGCCAACAAAAATATTATGAATTCGGGACAAAACTATGATTAAATAATTAAAGGTTTGCTCAATAGTGAAATTAAAGTTTTTACACTCCCCTCCAGTACTTCTGGAGTCAATCGCTACTTTAGAACCGCTACTGCACCTACTCCTAGGTAAGCAGCTACTCTATTAACCCGTGATAATGCACATGGTAGTGCAGTGTCGAACCAGTCGTAAGTAGAATAACGAAAAACTACGACAGAGGGCGCCCATAAATCACGCAAGTGACTACTTTAGTAACTCCTGGTAGTGCAGAGAGAGCCGATGGTGACTTCCGCCTAGGACATTGCCTTGTAAATGTAATCCATGAAATATGCTGCAAGTAGTCGGTCGATAATTAGCTTTTCAGTTCGCCTTCCATTCTTTTATTATGTTAGCGACTAGTATTTTCAGCATGGCGGTGCCCTATGAAATGGAAATTGCCCGGCTACGCATCAGCGCATACCAGTAGATATACTAGTTGTATCATACCAGCTTACGGGATAGTCTGCCGATTTATCACCAATGAAAGGAATAAGTGTTGCATTTTGATTGCGCCGCGCATAGAGTCGCAATGGCTGAGTGTACGAAACAGTAGCATGGCATTCAATAGATCCGAGGTTCTAGACCTCGGGCTGCGGATATTTGTCTTTCTCATTTTAATTGCATTTTTTAATTTTATTACATATTTTTAGGCGCGACTGCCAACACCGATCGCCTAAAAGCATGCTTTGTACTGTTGCATGTGCAACCATTTCCTTCATTAAATTTATGAAATTTTTGCACATGCACTTCTCAACTGTTATGTAATAAAACTTTCTTAAGTTATAATTTAATGGCACTACAAAGTATGCTCGGCTTAGTCTAATG